AGGTTACTTCAAAATAGTTTTTAATTTCTATCTGGTTTCTGATGAGCCACACCTGTTCCTGGTATTTACTTGAGTATAGGTGTGACTCATCAGAAGCCAGATAGGATTGAAAACCTATTGGACAGTAGCTCTCCAGGACTGGAGTTGGAGACCCCTGCCCTAGATCACCCCAAGCATTTTACAGTGGTTGAAGCTGGAAAACAGAATGAAAACACACACCAGCCTGAAATTTCAGCTAAGAACCTATCTAGGAATTTGTTTGGTTAGTGCCAATTTGCCATATGTACAAAAGGGGCCATCTTTGGATTGGCATTTTCTGCTAGGAATGAAATATTTACATGCTGCAAAAAAGAAACAGCAACACTTACATGATTTCTAATGAAATATATTGCAGCATTTCAGAATTGGTTGGTATTACAATTTTCCCATGCAAAAGTAGTTCTTGTTTATTTTATTTTTACAATGCAACATGACAGTAATTTGTGCCAAACTGGAGGATACAGCCACACTTTATATATGCACTTTATATATAGTTGTTAGTGTTTTTTAGCCCATTGAACATTGAGTGCCCCAGTAGTGTTGTTGGCTGACAGCATTTGTCATGGTTATGGCAGCATGAGTCACTTTTGGGTGAATTGTGAAACGTTTTGGTGGTTGTAGGGCATTTTGCACCAAAGGTTAAGTGATGTGCTCAGGTGTGTATTGGTACAGCCCACTGTGTGAAGTGTTGTGAAAAAGTGGACATGGTATTGAGACAAGTGTGAAAATGATTGGAAAAAACTGTAATAGGATTAGGGTCAGAACTTCAATTTTAATCAATTAATGCATAAACTGTACAGCTTTATCCATACATCCATTTTTCATACCGGCTTGTCTTATGCTGGGTCACAGGGGCCTGGAGCTTACAGCTTTATTTACTGGTCACTTATAATACAGGTTTTATGTTGCATGATCTCTCTGTAAAACCTCATCACTGGAGGATTTGGTCATTAAGTGCACTCAACCAGAAAAACAGCAACTGGCAGACATCGAAAGAGAAATGCACTTGACACTTGCAAAATGAGATTTTATGACCAATAACTAAACATATCACGTGACATCACACCAACAGATCCATGGCTGCCCTGTTCTTATTACTTTGTGCAACATGAGGAGAACCCACAACCCTGTGACGGTATGGCAACAGTGCCACCAAGTGAACCTACCTACCACCATCGCCTGCTAAAATATGAACATACTTATAACAGTGTGGAAAAACTGGGCAGCAGTGATATCGCACATCTAATCACTCCATGCTATTCATTTGGGGTTTGTAGGCCAGCCAAAGTTTCAGTTGCATTTTCAGAGATGTCCTTCTCCTTCTCTGTGTTCGTTTCCTTCTAAGCAGTTTTGATGTTCGGTAATGCAATTATCCTGATTACAGAAAAACAGTATATAAATTAAATATGACAGCTTTCATCTAAAAGTAGTGTAAAACCATATTTCACATACATGCAGTACTTCCCAATTTAACTTATTTTTCTTATTTTTTTATTCCAGGTGTAATTGCCTCACACCTCCACGGGAGGGGGGAGGGGGGTTGCAGGTTCTGCCCATGTTGTGTACAGTAGCTTCCCTTCTCCAGAATGTTCAGTTTCTTCCCAAAGTCCAAACACATGTAGTCTGATGAACTGGAGTTTCTAAATTGCCTTGAATGTGTATGACTTCTTCAGTTTTCTAAGTGCTTATTTGTTTTATGCATCATGTTCACATCCACATTCTGTAATTCTTTTAGGCCTTGTAAAGCTCATTACTACTAAAGCTACTGACCCAACTGCTTCCTGTGAGCCTGGTGCTTTCTACAGTGAGTCTTTTAGAAAGTGTCAAAAGCACAAGAAGTGAGTATTTATGAAGACATGGGTGTGTGCATGTATATACTTCCTGATCATTGACCATAGACATATATTCGCAGTATACGTTTATACAGGGTACTGTGTAAAATTGTTAAGCTGTCACAGAAAATGTTTAAATCCATTTACATGCATTGTAAGTGTATGACACAGTTTAGAATTAGAATATATGCAGGATATAAAGAATTTCTTCTTCAAGAAGTTACTGATATCCTTTTGGATGACTAGAAGAATCATCATTATGATTCCCAAGCCTCTCCTCAGGGGATATTCCATATTTTGGCTGAATTTCGTCCCCAGCTTGCTTTAATTAATTAATTAAGTCGATGAGGTATTGATTATCCAATCATAATATGTTAGTGGTGAACTCAGCAAATGCAAGGGTATGTTGGGCGGTTACTGCAAATACTGGGGCGACTTCAGGAGAGGTGTTGAAAAGACTCAGCTGTCACACTTTGACAGATGTAATATCATAGTGTACTGATGATTATCTGTGTTGTTCAGCTGTACCTCCCTTGGCCTAAGCGTTGAGACTGCAGGAAATTCTACTCACGATACAGTTTGCGGCAACCCTATAAGAAGTGCAGGTACAGCTCATGGTACGTCTGCAACAATTGTTCCTGCCTCTGCTCATTTGTAGACACTGCTGGTCATAAAATTCACTGTTTTTCATAGACTGGCTGACAGTGCTTCCCTCATACAGCTTCCCTTCTGCTTTTAAGAAGGCTCTTTACAAGCCCTGTAATGCTGGCTCAGTAGAAATTTTGCATGCTCACTTTTGTGAAATTTTATGAAGGCTAAATGAGGGAGATATTACAATTTATATGCAATTGATTCATTTTATTTCATTTGAATTGAATTGCAGAGTATATTAATCCAATTGCATAAAAAACATCTTGCCACTGATGAATGCTTAACCCTAAATATCTGATTTTCAAAACAAAAAAGTTGAACTGTTTTTATGTGTGTGTGTTTTTTCCCAAGTTTCTGAGATTTTCTCAGAACATTCACCTACTGTAAGCCCAATTAAGGACTTAAAGGAAGGTAAACAGTTTTGATTTGGTATGGCTCTTCGTGTTGATCTATTAGTTTTGTAGTAATTAACTAATTTGAAAATGGTGATCATAATAGTGATCAAAGTAATATAATGAATATAATGATTAAAACTGCTTGTATTTTGGTGGTGAAATAAGTTCCAAGTTGCAAATAGTATTGCAAATCATTTTACATATTTGAAGGGGTTTTCTGTTTTGGACTTTATTTAATTTGATTCTTAATAAACCGCTCCATTTTCTCACTCTCTTCTCTTTCTCTCCCAGAAAAGTCATTATTGTTTCTATGTGTGGTATGTATGTGCATATCTGTCTTCCTGATTGGTTTCAACTTCGCCTCACGGTGTCACCTGAGCAAGTGGAGAGCCAATGGTCAGTCATGCTTTATTTGATGTTTAACGTAATAACTTAACTGCCTGCTTATAAACTCTATATTAGCAAAATTTAAACAGAGTGAACTGCTTCCCCATTAACATCACACTGACTGCATACTACACCAAAAAATATATGTAGAAAACATAGAAAAAATATCTTTCAGTTGTATGATATTCACCGACCTTTAACCAATGAGACTTACCCACCTCCATTTCTTTGGTCTGACAGGACTCAGGGTTCCCAGGGACGTGGAAGAGGAAGATGCCCAGAAGCCAATTCAGGAAGTGTGTGGAAAACTGGAAACATGTTACACTGAAAATTACTAGCTGAGAGTGGGAGTTTGCAACAGTTGACAAATTGATAAGTCTGAGGGGGTGTATTATGACATTAGAGGCAGTGAACAGGGGCACAGAAAAGCACAAAGGAAGTGTGACAGTCGACAGGAGGAAGTGGAACGGCACTGAGGCGTACTGACAGAATCACACACTACAGGCACTCCATATACACACTATGGCTAATGGCATACATAAACGCTGCTTACATGCTACTGTTATATTTTAGAGTTACAGCTGTCAATTTTAACTGCTAATAAGTCATTTTTACTATGATTTTTAAATCCTAGATTTATACTTTTATATTTTTTTCCCACTCTTTATAATAAAAAATCTTTTTCTGTCAACTTCTGTGTTTAAAAAGTTGCAGTAAATGTGACAAACAAGAGGGGTTGTAAAAATCTGTTTATTAATTTTATAACAGAAACATAAATACAAAATATATTATAAGTGAAATCTTCACACACTACTACAAAACATTACACAAAAACTAAATACCAATAGACATATTTACATCTGAGCTGAGTGGAAAAAAACACAAGTCCTGCTGTAGTTATGTCCTACTACATGTCCTATGGCAGTTATGCTGATTGGTCTGTTTCTGGCTGGACCAGGAATCTTTCCACTTGTATCTACCCATTCACATCCTCTCTTCTTTAGATAAATGAGTCTCTTTTCCTTGTTCTTGGGACGGAAAGAAAATGCTGTGTGATTGTCCATCCCTCTCTTCCTCGGAGAGGTGCACAGGGGGGGAGGATGGCACAGGGGCCGGCCCCAACCAGTCGCTGGTCTTCTTCTCACCCTTTCTTTCTTCTTCTGCCTCTTTTTCAAAGCCAGTAACATGGTTCAGAAGGCTGACAAAAACCGTCCCTGCACTGTAAATATGAAAGGGACCTGAAAGACACCACGATCAACCATGTTACCAGATTCGGCCCACTCTAAAGACACTTCCAAGTAAATGAACAACTTTTATTATTTTTTTTAATAACATCTTTAATGAATCCAGCACTGAAAGTTTATTCACGTATTTTATTTCGCTCAAAAACTTAGAAACAGTTATTACATTTTGTTAAAAGATATAACCATACCACAGTAAATAATATTTAGGATTAACTCTAGAATGATACACAGCAGTTAACAATGATTATTCAGCAAGCTAATGCCTAATGATAACTATATAGCTGCAAATTCAATATTAAGGGAACTACTTTGTATTCCTAGTACTATCACTATTACTATCCACCTGAGAGCATTGAACTGCCCTGTATTAATACTATCCTAGTACTAAGTGCTATCCTAATACTATCACTATTACTATCGACCTAAGAGCACTGAACACGGATTTCTGAGATGCACCATCAGAGAGGTGATCATGGATTACTGGGTACCGAGATTGCCGGCTCCTTGGGATACTGAGTCTGGGCCCAGCGAGGTGTCCAAAGGGCAGTCCGGCTGATGGTCATTTTCTGGTCTGCCACAGTAGTTTGGGGTCTGGCCACAGAGGGCTCCAAAACTCTTGCTGGCATCCTGAGGAGGGCAATGATTTCCTTTCTGAAACCACTTTGATGATGATTATATTTACATATATATTGATTTAAATAATAGTATGACACAAAGCACACACATACCATGTGGCCATCTGGTGCACTTATCTTGATAACTGCAAAATACAGAAGGTGTGTTGGGTAAGCCAGTGTTTCCCAACCTGGTCCTCGTGGACCCCTAGACATTCCACAGTTTTGCTCCCTCCCAACTCCCCACCAGGGAGCAAAAACGTGAACTGTCTGGTGGTCCCCGAGAGCCGGGTTGGGAAACACTGGGGTTAGCCCTATCACATATCACGTATCAGTAATGCAGTATGAAACTCTGAATGGAATGGGAACATGGAGGGAATTAATCTTACTTTGTTTTAAACATGCTCCATCCTCCAACTTCCAGAACAAACGAAGGACAACTGCTATACACAGAAAAACTGTAAAAACTCCAACCAGGATGTGCCACCACTTTGTATCGTTGACACGTTCTGGGAAAAAATGAGAGAATTTTATGGTCAGGTACTAGGATTAGGAGCCTGCACACCCTACTGGTTTACACAGGTGCATGCTTTGTACAATTAGATAACTGACTGACTGGGTGGGTATGAGACCCAAGCCATGTTCGGACTCTCTCTAAAATATATTTTAGCAATGCCAGACGTTTCAGATTAGGCATTCATCAGTGGCAAGATGTTTTTTATGCTATTGGATTAATATACTCTGCAATTCAATTCAAATGAAATAAAATGAATCAATTGCATATAAATTGTAATATCTCCCTCATTTAGCCTTCCTAAAATTTCACAAAAGTGGGCATACAAAATATCTACTGAGCCAGCATTACAGGGCTTGTAAAGAGCCTTCTCAGAAGCAGACGGGTAGCTGTATGAGGGAAGCACTGTCAGCCAGTCTATGAAAAACAGTGAATTTTACGACCAGCAGTGTCTACAAATGAGCAGAGACAGGAACATGTTGCAGACGCACCATGAGCTGTACCTGCACTTCTTATAGGGTTGCCGCAAACTGTATCGTGAGTAGAATTTCCTGCAGTCTCAATGCTTAGGCCAAGGGAGGTACAGCTGAACAACACAGATAATCATCAGTACACTATGATATTACATCTGTCAAAGTGTGACAGCTGAGTCTTTTCAACACCTCTCCTGAAGTCGCCCCAGTATTTGCAGTAACCGCCCAACATACCCTTGCATTTGCTGAGTTCACCACTAACATATTATGATTGGATAATCAATACCTCATCGACTTAATTAATTAATTAAAGCAAGCTGGGGACGAAATTCAGCCAAAATATGGAATATCCCCTGAGGAGAGGCTTGGGAATCATAATGATGATTCTTCTAGTCATCCAAAAGGATATCAGTAACTTCTTGAAGAAGAAATTCTTTATATCCTGCATATATTCTAATTCTAAACTGTGTCATACGCTTACTATGCATGTAAATGGATTTAAACATTTTCTGTGACAGCTTAACAATTTTACACAGTACCCTGTATAAACGTATACTGCGAATATATGTCTATGGTCCATGATCAGGAAGTATATACATGCACACACCCATGTCTTCATAAATACTCACTTCTTGTGCTTTTGACACTTTCTAAAAGACTCACTGTAGAAAGCACCAGGCTCACAGGAAGCAGTTGGGTCAGTAGCTTTAGTAGTAATGAGCTTTACAAGGCCTAAAAGAATTACGGAATGTGGATGTGAACATGATGCATAAAACAAATAAGCACTTAGAAAACTGAAGAAGTCATACACATTCAAGGCAATTTAGAAACTCCAGTTCATCAGACTACATGTGTTTGGACTTTGGGAAGAAACTGAATATTCTGGAGATGGGAAGCTACACAACATCAGCAGAACCTGCAACCCCCCTCCCCCCCAAAGAGAGTTATAATTCTCTGAGACTCTAACAGCAATTGGACTGTGTTGTGAAGACTCAGGTAAAGAGTATTATTTAATTTAATTATGTAAAATGTTAATCAAATCATCAAATCAAATAAAAAAACTTTATTTGTTCCCGAGGGGCAATTTGATAATTGAATTGTTAATAGATGCTATCCCAGTTGTATGGCTGTCATAAAAGGGCCAAAATGTCAGACAATTCACTGAGTCCCTTTAGAAAAGCACCTTCATCACACAGCTGTTGATATGTACACCCACACACAAGGTTGATGCAATATTTTCACACACCTGATGGAGACGGCTGGGGCTCACAAACTTCACAGTTGTTCTGGGAGTCCTTGCTGACACAGGTGTAGCCGTCTTGACACTTGCACACAGTGTTTGATGTGGCACTGCACCTTTTCACAATCTCCATGTGTAAATCTGGAGGAAGACACACACTCAGGATTACAATCTAAACAACATATAGTACATAGGCAATTGTATACTTACAATTTTATAACATAAAGCACATGGTTAAAAAAACATGCTAAGACACCAATTATTACTAATAATAATGGCCGGAAAGCCAAGACTCCCTGAAGGAAGTCGAGACCCCAGGACACTTCCTTCATTTCCTCTATAAATTCTAATCTTTAGGAAACATTTAGCTCTGTCTTCAGAAGTCACTTTCTACTCATTGCCAAAGATGACAAAGATGAGGAAACTCACAGCTGTTTTTGTACTTCTAACACCCACTCAAGACTTGGGAAGTGCAAAATGTAAGTGTATATCAGTAGATACATAGAACGTCATTCTATCATTAATAATGAGAAAAGAGGCATTTCCTGGAATAAACAACAACAGCAAATGCACCCACTAAGGGTTGGCCAACTTAATTTTTCATGCTGCTAATTATTATATGTTACTCCTTCTGTGAGCCTGAAGTTTTCCTTTTCATGCAAATACAGACATTATCTTAAAAATAAACCAAATCAGGGGATAGAGAGAAAGAGAGAGATGGTTTGAAACAAATCAAGGAACTGCCTGAATTTTAACTTAAATCGGTGTCTTTTGTTAAAAAAAAAAAACACTGTGGGGGTATTTGACACCCCCTGGTGGACACAGACAGCAGAGCCCGGAAACAGAGAGACTGTGCAGAATGAGATATATGAACAGCATCCTCAATACCCTCTCTGCAGTCACGGTAGCAGGGCATGCATCTGCTTTCTGTATTATTGAAAGCAGTGAAGGTGTCCAAGGTGCAGGGAGCGCATCCACATTTTAACCGGTGTGTTCCTGGAGGTAGGAGACAGAATTAAGCATGCAAACCCTAAACAGTGGCCAAAACCGTGAGTCCGTGGAGCTGGTTTGTGCACTATGAAGTCTCTGTGGCCTGAGCTGCATTCTACAGTGCATAAGAACCCATTTAAGGGAAAGAATGACAATAACAGGAAATCACACCACTTCTGGTAGCCCTGTGCATAATAATTAAGGATGTGGTTGTGATAGAGCATTAGATAGCCTACTCAGCATCATGCTTCCAGTGAACTTAGAGAGTACAGAGAGAAAAAAAGACAAAAGCAGCATTTCAGATATAAAATTTTAGACAATTAAAAGAAGGGAACAAAACAGAAGAAAATGTTTTAAAAGAACAGAAACATTCAAACAAATGACACTTCAATTACCTGGAGGGCAGAGGGGCATGTTTTCTGGGCAGGCGCTGTGAGGCTGCAGTCCATGGCATTAAGAGAAACCGACAAGAACCAGCATTAAGGGGCCATCAGGCAGAATGCAGAAGCACAGCAAGAGAAACGGCCAGAGATCATTACCATGGCAAGCAGAGATCCGATGCCATCCAGCAGCACCAGCATGAACAGGGTGAAGAAGAGTACCTCCATTCTTCAGTCAACAAGCAGGCAATTTAATGATAAATGTACAACAGTCAAAGTGCTATACATCAGTTATGCTCATAGTAAAAAATTGATTAGAGAATAGAAAAATCAGCTGTCATTCTGTATCACGCAAAATAAAAAATACCATTTAATCAGGAAAAGCAGTATTGCAGTCGATTAGGTAAATGGCATTATGCCTTCAGAATGACCCTCTATTAGTTACTTAAAAATGCGCAAAACAATATTGATGTCGATTCGCCTCACCTGTGGCACGAGTCTACGTTCTCCTGTTCTCTCTGTCTGTCTTTCTTTGAGCATGTCCACGTCACCGTTTCCTAACCTGTACGGATTCCTGTCTCGCTTCCCCGCCCACACGCTCACCACAGTCAGTCGTGTGTTTATATGGGCCAGAGACACACAGTGCCGCTTCGGATCAACCAGATTCAAGTTTTCATCCTATGTGCCTTTTTAAGTAAGGCAGATAAAGGCTGTAGAGACAGACAGATGTGAAGGCTCGGGCCTTACCGTCTGTCAGGCCTGTGCTACCTGCAGTTCATACACACACCACTTGCAAAGGGAGAGGTTTAAAAGCGAAAAATACAACAACCGTGCAAATTTGCTTTGGGTAAGCAGAATGCACATAAGCAGCTATGTGAAGTCTGCATAAAGTAGCAGATAGATTTGGCAGTTTTAATGATGCTTACACATATATACACATACACACACACACACACACAGATACATGTATATATGCAGAGCCTCATTTCTCAATTTAACGCTGTGCATCTGTGAATATTTTTTTTTTTGCAAATTAGTTCTTCCCTGTTTCTCATTAATGAAGGGCTTCTTGCTTGCTTTATGGGACTTCAGTCCTGCTTCGAGGAGCCTGATATTAACTCTCCTAGCAGTGCACTTCACACCTGCACTTTAATGTTTCCCATTCCTTTTGAAGGTCACTTGAGGTCATCCTGCAATTTAGGAGGCACTGTTGCAAAAGCTGACTGTCATCTCTGCCATTAGAAAGTTACCTCTGCCTTTTACCTGGCTGGTTTCTGGTCATTCCCAGTGTCTCCTGCTTCACCTTATTCTCGTGTACTGCTCTCTTAGAAATATTGAACCTGGAAGCAACCTGCTGCTCAGCATAGCCTTCTGCCAGCATTTAAAAAAGCAGATGTTTAAAAATATAGAGTAGTCTCAATTTTTTTCCACGTCTGTATATGTGTGTCTCTATACACAAGCACACAAATACCTTATAAGGTAGTAATTTTTTTTTGTAAAGCCACAGTGATCAATGGTACGTACAAAAGTGAAACGATGAAGACATCAATGCCTAATATAACTACATAAAAAAGCAATGAATCGCACTTGTATAGCAGAAATGTGTCATCATGGCCCCTGTCTCACAGCAAGGTCTTCAGAATAAGACACAGAGCACTCAGTTGTTCCAAAGCAGGCCTAGTCAAGACATTCCTATTCTATGCATGTACAAGTAAGGCACATGAACACAACTCAGCATCAATATTCATAATGAAAACACTGAGACAATGAACAGACGAGAGTCACCGTTGCTTAGTAATCACTTTTATTCTGCACATGTCCAGAACCTCACAGCACTGTATAGGATGCACAAGGACTCAACTCGAGTGGCTGTAGATGTCCATGAATGTTTACTCTCTGGGTACTGGCCCACTTTCCTAAAATCTTCACCTGTGATTCATTAATTCCTTCAGTTTAAGGTTCTTTCAATAACAGCTGCAAAGAACAGTGACTCATTTTAAAGGAAACGTCTCAACCGATAATTAATTCCGGACAAAACAAGTCAACCAACCCATGATTAAGGACTTTAAAATGTCACCAGTGTCCCACCACCTTGGATTTTTTTTATTTTTTTAGCAAAGTCAGTAGTTACCCAGAAGGACGTCATAGCACATTACACTGCATAAATGTGTTCAAATTCGAATTAATGCACTCATAAATTTTCATTTATGTCCAATTGTGGCAACTTCTCTCCATTCATCAATCACACCAAAGAGCAGTTCCATACACTGAAGAAACATTGAATTTAAATATTTCGTGGAAAAATAAAAGGCTTATTTTAATTAAGTTTCTTCCGTGCACAATAACACTTAAAATATGGGATCCATGACTCTCACATATGCTCAGTTAACATAGCAGAGGCGCCTGGAGGTGTTGAGAGGGCTTCTGTAGTCCGATGGCCTTTAAAACGTAAGCCTGCCATTTTTAAACGCACCCAGAATACATATGAACATGCAGAAACACGCTACTGCGTAATACTTTCCGTTATACTTTGGCCTACACTCATACCTAAACTCCATACTCCATCTGTCCAATATATCATACAACCAAAAATGTGTGTACATTTTCTTAAAGCCTTGAACTATACAAGTCCTTTTAAAATGATTTTTTTTCTGTTATTAGATTGATAAGCTTAACATTCCAGTAAACTAAAGTTCCTGTCTATCTGCTATACATATATGTATATATATGGTAATGCTTGACACTTTTGCACATTATGGAATACAAAAATAGTGTTTTAAACACAGTTCCAGAAAATACACGTATATCACGCGCATACCAATAACATTCATTCTCAGTCACGCCACGATCTCCCCAGAACATGACCTCTTATAATATTCATTTGGATCATTAGTCATTCCTAGACTGCCGTATTTGATATGAAAACATACAGGATCAATGCATGCAGAGTTTCTGCCAAAAATGAAATGTGTTCATACCACAGAACAGCACAATACATCTTACAGACATTTCAGTTAAAGCTTAACGAGAGATTGCAGAGCTGAGGGGGTCCGTCGTATGTTCCTAAGGTTCCTGTGTTCTTTCATTGATAACGTTCCCGATGGTCACAGGGTGCCACCTCAGCACTTAAATCAGACCAGGTCACAAGTCCCCAAAATATATCATATTGAGGTAACACAGGGGGACATAGAAATATTCCTAAGTGGATGCAGACTATGAATGTTTCACTGGCTAGTCTTCTATTCATCGTTTGTCAGGCTTTCAGAAAGCAGGTAGCACAAAGGATTTTAAATAATAATAAACATCTGGTGATGTGTGAGTGGCTGTGTCTTATAAAATATTCCCCCATCAAAGCGACACCATCACAATGTGAAGAGACACATTGTGTGACTGGGCTGGGAGGACAACAAGTTTTTAATACGCACTATTGTATTATCAATGGCTTCAGAAAATTACGAGCTGAAGTACGAGTAAAATGCTGAAAAACAGTATGAATCCTGATAATGTATTTCAGTTCAAACCCTAGAATAACACCGGAAGCTTGGCTGTGTGTGTCTGGCTGCTGAGGTACTCGTGTGTGGGAGATATGGCTGTGGAGGTCAGTACTACAATTTTAGAATGAAATACAGCTGTGCGGTAGACATGATACACCGCGCTTCCACAAGGGGGGCAGCGGCTATAATGTCTATCCAGTTGTGTTGAGGAAACGTGTGAGGTGGTATTAAGTCACAGGACGTACAGGAAGTAAAGCAGGATGTGAATGGGCCAGTCCATCATGGTACAGTCAAGCGTTCATTTACAAACTGGAAAATCACTCCTCATCCTTCCAATTCAGAAAGCTAAAGAAGCCAGAGATGCTAGAACACACAGGCCAAGAGCAGGAGTCAGGTTCAAACCCTCGGAAAGGACACAAACACCTGAGCCTCCCGTGGAAGTATTTTTGCAAATCTACAAGTCCATTCAGAAGCTCTCGTGGATGTATTTACAACACTTTCCCTTACAAAAGGCTGCATATGGGACACAGATGAGCTATTAAGCAGTGAAAACAACACAGAACTCTCCCAACACACAATGGTGTGAGGGAGGATCCGGGGTCTGCCACCTGCTGGCCAACAAGTGCTAGTGCGCCCCGCTGGCAGCCGCATCACCTCCCCGAACGTGCAGGCGAAGGCACTTGCATCTTCTCCCGGTCAACATTGTCACTCTCTTCAGCAGCGGCAGAAGACGGGGGATATTTACTGAGGTGAGAAAGAGGAGGGGGAGTTGTGTGTGTGTGTGTGTATATATATATATATGAATGGAGGAAGTGTGAGGAAATGTGAGGAAGTGTGAAGGTGGGGGCGAGAGCGGACCTGTCCCCGGTCTGAGTGATGAGCCTCCGGCATGTCTCCATCTGCACGTCTAGGCCACGCTTCATGGAGCACATCTCCATGTACTCGTGCAAATGCCGGTTCATGTCTGACTTGGCCGTAGCGAGCTCCAGCTGGTGGGCACGCGTATACACACACATACAAACACACACAGAGACATGCAAACATTCACATTTACAGAGAGGCATCTGCCCCCATTAACACAAAACCAGCACATTTTCCACTAAAAAAAAAAAAACGATGTTAAAATAGACCACTTTTTTGGAAGAAAACTAAATCATAAGCACAGAACACAAATACACAAATACACTAAACGTCTGCTACCATGACAACCCAAGGTTATGGCATTTTAGCTGCATTACTTTGTGTGGAATTGTGGCTGGTTAGCAACATTGTGTGGTAAGAATGTGCTTTTAATTGTTGCCTTTTAATGAACTGAATTCAAAAACAAAAACAAAAGGAAATGACAACTGTCGAGACGCACCTCAATTTGGTCGATAGTTTCTTGGTACTCCTTCTCACGGGATTTAAAGAGGCACTCCGTGTCCGTAATGACCTTCTCGAGGCATTCTTCCTGCTGTGGACAAGCAGACCGTAGTGAAGTGCTTAAACACCAACCAGGTGGAATTTCCCACGCGGCCTCGTCACCCTACACAATGGCCCCATAACGCTGTTTAATTTACCTTTTATTAATTATTCATTATATCCATTAGTCTTTTACATATTCCAAGCTGGTAGCATAGTGGTTGAGAACATGGTATCCTGTAGGGCGGCACAGTACCTCGTTTCAGCATGCACATGTGAGATAATCACGTCGCAGGATGAGCAATATCAAGGAAGGCAAATTAAACAAGACATCACGCTGCAACTTTTTTGCTACTTGACACAAAAGGAAAATTTGCATGGTTCTCTTTTTCCATGACTAATCTGCAAGCCAAATCATGTAAATTTTATTTGTACAGCACATTTAAAAACAACAAGGGTTTGTTTTTTTTGTTTTGAGTACAACAAAAGTCTGTCTGACATAACAATTTACTCTGATTTAAGTATTTTTGGCAACACAGAGTTTGTTGCTAGTGAGTGACATGCAGGCTCTGCTTGCACAGCGAACCACCAGTCACAATTAGGGCTGAGAGATGTGCAATATTAATATTGACATTGCATGTTATGCACATTCAGATCTTGTTGAATCTGTTCTTCTGACCAGATCACAATTATTGCTTGGGTTTATTCATTTGTCCAAGCACCCATTATTACTTTTTGTTTTTACTTTGTTTATTATTGTTTTCTGAAATGGCAACTATGTTTTTTCATAATAGCGGATGTATTTTGTGTTTGCAAGGCAGGTTATCTATAACCACTCTACAAAAACCCGATAGCAAGTCCTACCCCAAACATCAACGCATGAAAAAGTTGCTACAGCTGGTTTGGTACTGGTACTCAACCAGAAGTCAACAAAAAATAGCTCCGGCTTTGTGGCGCAAAAATCTAAAATGGTTAATAAAGAGTATACCTCAAGTAACAAGAGGAGCTTAATCCGAAGCTCCACTTGGCAAAATGAAAAAGTGTTGGCACAATAAAGCACCCAGACTAACATCCTGCTTGCTAAACTGCCGGACACGACAGGGGTTAATAAAAAAAAAAAATA